TCTACAGATTCTGTATATATGTGTATACATTGTCTGAATAGAGTAGGAATTCCTCCCAAAGGCTATAACTTATTCTGATTACTGAATCAATACTATTAGACCTCAAACTTGACAGTAACACACTTCTCGGCAGAATATGAATTAATTAATTCTTGTTTGCAATAAATTCATGAAATGTGGGCACAACTAATGAATAAGTGATGAAACAATGATATGTAGACACTGTTAAGAAAAGGTCTAAACGTAAATGTTTTGGTGAATAAATTAATTTGCTTAGAGTTGTGAACACTTTATTGAAATTATGAAATATTTTGATGAGAGGATGGCTTTGTGGGTGAGATGTTAGCGCTGACTGTGGAGTGCTATCATCTCAGGAAGTGTTGCCATGACTTCATAGCCAGGAAATGCAGAGTTGCGGTCGGATTACTATAAGAAAAACGTTGAGCGCAATCACTATCACTATTAGTTCACTTTCATAGCAAACAACAAAATGATAGAACATTAAGAATTAATAACAAATATTGATTCACTTTATTATTCTTTATATATTTTCATAGTTTTGTTTTAAAAAGTTTTGTGCAATATTTGGCTCATAAAATCGAGCGAAAGAGTAAAGCCATTAAACATTAAATATTAATAATTCATAGAAAACTTAACGTTAAGACAGTAATAGAGAATTATTGGCGAATCAAACATAGATTTTAAAGTTTTGGCGAAAAAGACTAAAAGACTAAATGAGAAATCAATTCTTTAAGAGATGATCGATTGAACGGCTCTTTTATTTTACGTGTTTTTTATGACAAAAAAATTTTTTTCATTCCTGAAGGAGAGGAAGAATTCTTTAGAAATTAGTGAGAATTTTGACATAAAAAAGGAGAAAAGTGTTGGAAAACACCGGAAGATGTATTGAAAATCCAATATATGTTTAGGTTTTAAAATATTTTTTTCATTGCTTTAGAGACACAACAAGAGTGAGAGAATGGAAACAAATCTGCTTTTGTTTTCTATTCTTTGTAATCTCGGAAATGAGGTATTTTTCCAATGGAGTTCTTTTTTCAGATTTTCCTGACTGTTGTCTCACAAAACTTATTTATATACCTTATATAAATACTTTATACTTAGAGTGATCTCTCACTCGTATCACTATTTTTATGCCTATATTTAAATTGAACACAAAATCTAATATATTATAGAATATTATATATTAATATTATATACGAGTCTATTGTATGGCAAGCCGTGAGCACTAAATTCCGTTGGCTTTCACTCGACATTATTTGCTGAACTAAATCAACTAAATTAAGCGCAAAATTGCATTTCAATGAACACTAACATACACTACACTATTATACTGAACACTTTGTCTCCGCTTTCGCTTTACATGTGATAATTCACATTAAATTTTAATCTTATATTTGAGTTTTCAGACAAATAAAATTTTTAATTTACTGTTACTTTCAAAATGGTTTAAATTTGAATTTTTATTAATATTTTATTTTTATGTTTATGATATTGTGTTTTGATAGAGAAAATTGAAACTTTGCTCAATTATGGTTTAATATCGATTGTTTGCAACTCTTGCTTCAAAAAAGTTATTTAAAAGTTTTGTTAAATAATAATTAAATGTAAATTAAGTTTTGAAAAATACTTACCTTTAAGTCACGTCAGACTTAATTATATTTGTTTATATTCAGTGCTATGAATAACTTTATGAATAAACAAAATTAGCTTAAGCAATAAATTAATAGGGATTCTATTAAATGCTTAAAATAATTAACTTTTTGGCTAATTTTAAAGCCAAAACAAAACTCAAATTTGTTTGACAAGAGGTTAAGCATTGATATATAGTTTTGAGAATTAGTTGGTCTCTAATAAAGGAAATGAGAGAATGGATGCAATGGATGAGCACTTAATGTAATAAATGTGTATTTCATTAGACTATTGGGATTCTGGAGGAATCGCTTTGATGTGTGTTTTAGGATTAATTGTCGGCCAAATAAATTGAGTTTAAGTTCATTATAAACTACACTCACGGCTTGAATACATTTTGGATTATATTTCATTTTTAATTATTAAAAAGATTTGCTTAAAATTAAAGTTATCACAAATTTCTTAAATAAAAACTCATTGAAAAATTAAAAAATGTTTTTGTGAATTATACAAAGTATACTAGTAATTATATATGACTGCGTATGACTGAATAATTTTTTTGATTTAAATTTTAACAAACTTTAAATATTACAAAAAAAATAATAATAATTAAACCAAAAACCTTGCTTACCTTTAATTTGAAAATAATGTTCAGTATATTGCATGAGAAATGTGTGTAAATGTTATCTTAAAATTCAGTTGTCGTGCAAATGAAAAAAGTGAATGAGACTCAAAATGATATGTTTTGACTGCAATTCTTGTTTGTCTTACAATTGAAAATTTTAATAATAATTTCTGTTTGCTTTTTACGGAACCGCTTCTCATATTAACAGTAAACTCATGTGTATTCTCGATAAGTAATGGATGTGTGTGTGAGACGTTGTGTTACTTTGATCAAATGTTTTTATATACATCAGAAAGTGATAAAAAGCAAATATTTAATAGATTTTTAAAAATATAATGGTTTTAGAAATCGAAAAATCATTAAAAATAATTTAATAAATTCAAGTACGGTAATAAAACCAATTTAATTATTTTATATTTAATAAATTATTTTGTTAACTGAGTTTAAATCAATTTTATATATTTATTAAACTAATAAACAAAGAAAAAATATTTAAATAAATAAAAATATTTAAAGAATAATTTGTAATAAGCTAATTGTGTCAAAATGAATATAATAAGTCATAACTGTGTTATAGAATTCATTAGATGTGAATAATGTTTGTTTTGATCTAATGGTTGTTTTAAACATCATTTTTCAATTATTTAAAACTAAATCTTTTGTTATCTCTCTTATATAGCAAAAAGGAAATGGTTTTGCAAATTATAAACGAATGACTTCTGTAATTGTTTTAATGATAAATACCATTAATTTTACAAATATTTAATGAAAGCAAGAGATAACAAGAAAACATTATTAATACGAGTTTAAAATTAATGTCAAAAATCATATATAATCGCATATTAAATAAATATAAATTGAATTTATATTGAAGTTTCTGTAAAAATACGAAATGTATTCAGAATTGAAATGTTTTTTACTTTCGATTCAAGTCGTGTCCAAACATCTAAAACCAAATTTCACTCATTTCTCACATCAGATCCTGTATTTGATGCCTTTCGTTGTCTCTCGAGAATATTATTTCTCATAAGTATTGCTTTCTTTCGATTATTTCAACGAGAATTTTATTTCACATTATTTTGTATTCATTGATAACTTCACACAAAATGTGATCAAAATTAGGTTGAGTATTTTTTGAAGTGTTAACAAAAGTTTTCGAGACTATAATTTTATTTTGAAATAAAACATTTTTTGTTTTTAAATGAATTAAAATATTTGTCAAACTTTATAAATGTTTTATGGATTATTAAAAATTCTAAACGTTTATACAATAATTGAGTTTTTATAAGTTTATAAAAATGATAACTGTGTACATGGCTATTTGACAGTTGCATAAGTGATGGTCTACTTTATGGCTACCAATAAGTTGAGTATTGCATTATATTAAGGTTGTTACTAATTTCTTACATATTATGATAGATCTGTTGGGAATGACTACTAAAAGACAAGATTAGTGTTGTGCCTAAAGTCAAGTTTGCATTAGTATTGACAAAAACCTGCGATAAGCTTCAAGTCATATGTATGTAATGTACAGTAATTCTTGAATATATTTGACACAACAGAATAAATAATATTAGATATAATTTTGACATTTAATTCTTGATTAGAATAAATGACAATACATTACATTTACTAAATTTATTGTCATTAGAAACTCATGAAATATCCTGCTTTTGAAATTGTATTTTTAATATAAATGAATGTAATATAGCACTAAATAAGTTCTTAATAAAGTTGAGTTTATATTATAAAATACTAAATCAAACGAGCATAGTACAGTATCATAGTAAATACTATACTAATAATTATAATTTTTTGGTTCATTTAATTTTATTACAGTATATAACTAAATAAATTATATGCAATAATTATACTTTTATATTTAATATATTCAATAAAAAGAATATTTACTAAAATGTATGATACAAAATAAATAAAATAACTCTATGCTATAGACTCTATAATATTGAGATATAAACTATGTATGAAAACTGAATTTAATTTTTTATTTTTGTATAAATATTATTAATGACCTGAAATGCATATTCAATACATTACTTCTATTCAAATATGAGTCTACTATAAATTGCAATATGTTTTGCTTTCGCTATTAATCTGTTATTTATTAAAGATAATTATATTTCATTATGTAACCCATCTTATGACTAAACAGTAAGATCTACCTATGCTTTCATAACAATATTTAGGAGACTTAAGGCAATCAATCAAAACCAAAGATAAGAATTTTATTATATGTTTTCATTTATTTTAAATAAAATTATTTAATATCTGAAAATATTAAAATTTTTTATTTTAATTATAAGTCTAAAAATTGAAATTTATGTAATCCAATATGACAATTAAATTTATTATGGTTATAATCAATTTAGAAATTTAGTTTATTAATTTTAAATTAAATATATTAATACTGTATATAAGAGACAGATTACAATTAAACCGATTTCTTTATAAATCCAATGAAAGAATATAATAAATAGTAAATGAAAATTGATGTTGGTAACATACAGTATTAAACAATTAATGCATTTATATATTGTATAATAAAATGATTAATTTGTAGACAAAAGTAAAACACTTGTGTAGTATAATATAACAGTAAGAAATGAATTTAATTGCTAAACAAATAGATATCAAAAGTGATGTTTAGAGTGAAGCTGTGTTTGTGCGCAGATTTGGCCCAAAACTCTGACTGACTCTTCATGTGATGCCAAACATAACACAACTCTTCTTCAGTTTCACCACTTATTTCATACACTCTTTCAGTGAGACTTCATATGCTATGTAACCATCACTTTCATACGAAATAAAGTTTTTATGTTTTCAATTTTACAGTTTAATAACTGTTATTATTAGTGCTAAAAGTGATGGATGTGTTTGAAACCAATACCAATGGATAACTTTAATAATTGTTTTCTCAAATATATATCACTTGTGTTACTCTTATCCGTAAATTATGGTTATTGTGGCGGAAGAACAACACCCGATAAGATCCCAATCGGTTTCATATATTTCTTACTTATCTCTCATTTTCTTAAATTACTTAAATTTAAAAACTTTAATCTAAAAGATTTATTTCATTTATTAAATTACACTATTTTAATTTGCTTATTAATCTTAAGGAACCTTTTGAAATGAAAAAATTTAATGAAATATATTTCATAAAGTTTACAAAATATTGAATTTTACTCAATAATTAATTATTTAACTAATATTCAAAGAATTACTTGATTTAGTTTTAATTCAATAATGTAATGTAGTCAATTTATGCTATTTGAATATTTAAAATTTGATTTTATATATAGTAAAAACATATAAGTACAATTCAAATTGATTGAATATTTATTTAAAATTTTATAGAGATGACTGTATCATACATTTTAGTAAACTATTCTAATATTAATACAATATATTCAATATAATATCTGTTCTCATATAAGAATAAGTATAAAAGTATAAATATATTACAATATAGTTTATGTGTATTTGTTTTATACGGAAATCCTTCATCTCTTGAATCAAATGCAAAAAATACATTTGAATTTGTATTAAATGATAGTCTCGTATAATTTAAGCCATAGCTATGTTTTGTCAATTTTCTTCATAGAGTTATTTTTTAGAGCAAAAACTCATAATCACAAGTCATATCAAATCAATACATTTAATTATCTTTCATTAAATTAAACGCAAAAATGCTTATTTTTATTCATTAAAAAGATAAGAAATACAATAAAAATGAAAAATTTCCATAAAACAAAATATTGTAACATGCATCTCAAATGTTTTATTCATTACGATACGATTAGAGAATGGTATTCATTGAGTTAATTAATTGAATGTTAATTATTCTAATGTTGTATTTATACAAACAGATAGGATATGAAAATAAATACTGAACAAGTTGAACCAAATAATAATTAAAGCACTAAATTATTTGGTGTAATATACTGTATGTTAATATAATATAATAATATGTTTGACATGTTTTAGGCGCTATCTTCACAACCGCTGATGAAGACATTCAGACGGCATTCAAATATGCCATACATTTGCATAATAACGACACTTCCTCTCGATTCAAAGTGGAGGCAGTGGTCGATGTGGTGGACAGCGACGACCCCTTCAAAGTGAGCCGGGCCCGTGAGTCTATACTTTTATTTTTATACACAAAGTCAATACAACTAATTCATCGACAAAATTAAGACTTATCTCTGGAAGCGTTTTATTTGGCACTCAATTTGCAATAACTTTCAATACTTAAGCTAACAATTGATGATAAAAATACAAATAAATTGAGAAATACTTGAACGCATTCATAGTATTTTACAATTGAATCGCTAGTTTTAGTGAGAAATACTTAGAAAGTAAGTAATAAGTGATAAGTCAGACACTTATCGGAGCCAATCGTCAATATGTTTGGCCTTATAGTTGATTCAGTCATTTATTTTCATGAAAATGTATCAAACAATCAGAGAAAGCAATCACTTGTCGTACAAATCACTAGAAAATGACATTTACTTCAAAGTATTGGTCACTAAATCCGTTCACATAATAAAGAGGAGCGAAAACCGCACCAAATAATAGCATATTAAGGGAACACCAGTTTTAGTTCATTCAGTGATCAACACATCCAACGACTAGTTTAGAGTCCTTTGAAGCTTGAAGTGAACGATATGTTTCAGTTTATTGAATGAATGAGTTATGTATGAGATGTGTATGAGTTGGCTGTAAGTTGGCTGAGAGTTGTTAGGCAATGGTTTTTGTATGGGTTTGTGTTGTGTACACAAGAATTCGTTGGCTTCCACACGATTTCACTTAAGAGGCATTTGATTTGCTCACCATTGCGTTCATAATATGACAGCCCTATGACATACCGATATGTTTTATGAAACTGAAACTCTTTTGATAATAAAAATTAATGTTTGCTCTCTGTTTGCTCCCTCTTTACTCTCTTTGCTCCCTCTTTACTCTCTCTTTGCTCTCTCTCTTTACTCTCTCTCTCTCTGCTCTCTCTTTTCTACTCTCTTTTCTTAGTCTCTATGTTATTGTGAACTCCTTTTCCCCACTCATTGTTCGCTCCATTCTTTGTGTTCCGGATTTTAAAATAAAATATGGTTTTCATGTTATATACAGTTTATTGTGTGTAAACTAAAACTAACACTAATATCAAGTATAAAATATTTGTGTATCACATATAGCAAAGTGTAATACAGTGTAGTATTTAGGATAACATTTAACAACAATTTTTTCTGCCTTTTGTCTCGACTTTTGTATTGTGTGTAACGCAAGGAAAACATATTAAGATTAATCCTAACGGAGAGTAAAAAGTGTTTGTCTGTCAAGACATTGAAACGTTGATAAAAATGTGATACAAAGCACAGTGATTCTCGTGGGTCTCATTACTAACGCATAGAAAAAAGTGAACAAAACTCTACTCCTTTTGATCGATTTACTCAACCATAACAACACTAGTCGTTATCATTTTAAATATTATTTTTTTTCACCAAATATACTCAAAAACTTGAGTCCAAAATAATTGACTTAAAGAATGAGCGCATTGTTTGTGCCAAACAGTAATGCATGCGTTGAAGTGTGCTTTAGGGCCACCACTCATCCCAAGCATATGACGACTATATTATGTGTATTATGTGTTCCTATGATTGTTCATCCATCAGACGGCAAGTCCTGTCAAATACAGTTAATCACATTCCACTACATCCACGACTTCCTACATGTATATACCATACCATACCATACTATACACCAATCTTTTCATATCTCATGCATCCCTTTGGGGGCCTTTTCTTGCTTCCAATCAATGCATTACTTGTGCTACAAATACACCAAATTCTGCACAAACTTCAGATTAACTTCAATTTTGCTTAATATTTCATTCAAATTCCCATTTTTCACACCATTTCCAATCAGTTGTGCATTTAATATAATACTCAAGATGTGTAATAGACTTATATCAAATGAAAACATTTGCTAATTATATAATGTCTATCAAATTAATTAATTACACATTAATAATCATAATTAGAAGCATAATAAAACATGAAAAATGACTATATCAACATATTTCGTACTGTATATAACAGAAATTTTATGCAATTTTATGTTTATGGATATAAATGTCATTATTTTAAAATTAAATTAATTTTTGACAAAAAAGTCGAGATTTTCAGTTATCGATCCAATAAGTTAACGTATTGTAAAAATAAAGTGGATTTCAGTTCAATATAAAGGGAGCCATAAATTCAAAAGAACTTTTCGTTTGCAAAATTAAAAAGTTTTTATAACACTTGAGGCTTAACTCGCATTTCAAACTTTATTAAGATTTGTTGAATTGAATTGAGTTTAGGCCTACGATTTATAAATATTACTGTATACCCAATCAGTTTAGTTATAGTAACAAAATATTTTTAGTGTTACTTTAGAATAAAGTAAAAATTATATTACTAATTAGATCCTTAATAAAATAAATTGTTTTACATTTGAATGAAATAGAACATGAATGTCTAATTGACATTGTATCCTGCTAACTCATTAGATTCTTGATATTTATAAATTATAATTCTTCAATTAAATATAAATATTATTTTATATTTATGCACTTTCAGCAAATTTTGAACATAATTGTGCAATGCAAAACTAATATACTGTAATAGTATGAATGCTTGAATAATAATAAAAGTTGCATTATTTGTATCCAATGTTAGTGTGCCTTCAACTAAGCCGAGGTGTATTCACTTTGGTCTCACCGATCATCGGTCACGCCTACGAAACACTAGTTTCTTACTCAAATATGTTTCAGGTGAATTTGTATACAATTAACTGTAATCCTGTAATCACTGTAAACACTAATTACTTTTCAGATGCCATTCGTTCACTTGGGGTTGAGTCGGACAAGTGATGTGAGGCATGCAAACTATGGCATCTCTATGAGACCCACGTATTTGCCGGCAATCGTCGATGTAATCAAGTTCTATGAGTGGAAAACCATCATTTACATCTACCAAAACGATGATGGTATGTATCACTTCCCATTATATAATATACAGATTTGTATATACAGTATATACTGTACTCGTCATTATTTACAGAGAGTTTGCATAACATTTTTTTGTGCATTAAATTATTTACTCTGAAAGAGTATTTCAAATATTTCTTTGCATCGAAGATAACTTGTCTCTCGTATGACATTAATGTCTTATTTTCCAAAACTCATTACAAAATCGAGTCATTTGTATGAAGAGAGAAAAAATTGGTTTTTCTATTGACATTAAACTAAACATAAAACGAGTTTCAGAATAAAATCATATATAAAATGCCAAATATCTGTGTGTTATTCACTGAACAACACATTATTATAAGTACGTGAAGAAGTTATCCCTTTTATTCAGTCTATAATTTGGTTGTCTTTTTGGTTGAATTTATGGAAATTTATTTCTATTTTATGGATATAAGCGCTAATCAAAAACAATTTTCAATGCATTAAATATACAGTATATGTATTGAAAACATGAAATGTCATTATTATCGTGTTTTGTGCACTATTTTTGTCACATTTCCTCATATTTTAAGTTAACATTTAATTAACTGAATGAAAACATTAGGATTGAATTGTTAGCCATTGAGTGGAAATAGGAGACAATAATTTGTGGGCCGACCAACTAATATGACTTTCCTGTCGACTCAATAGATTTGTTTGAAATGGCAGTCTTTGCTAATCTTTAGGATCTGTTCACTAATAGGATCGCAAGTGAACCCGAATTAAGGAATCGATTCCGAGTGTTGAATAACTCTATGTATAGAGTTGTATGCAATCTATGTTTACTTCTTTGTGTCAAATGTGATCCACTCTATCGGCTCAACAGTCCATCGATTGTTCATTAATTTGTTTCACGACTTGCGATGTAAAGTCGCAAATGAAAGGCAAATGTTTTTTTAGTTGTAAATAACTTATAATACAATTATCTGTTTGCATGAGTTTTGCCGTCAAATAAAGTTAGTCATAAAATGAGCCCAATTTTGTGTGTCTTTTGTTATTCAATTTATTTGTATGTCTTTACATCGCTTTCATTTAGGCTTTCATGTAATTACAGAATCGGAAAAAATAAGTCTAGGGTTTGACTCAATTGTTATATCATACGAACCGCACTAACAGATTGTTAGAGAGATTTGCCAAATGGTCTTAATTTCATCGTTTGTTCCTCTATTTTAGTCATTTGCAGCACTTTTTATCACTTTATAGCATATCATGTGTTGTATTACAGTTATACTTCTATTGTGATCCAAAATGTTTTCATTTCCATTTACAACCAAATAAACTGAGAACAACTCAATGATGAGCAAAAGGGTATTGAATGTGACATACCTTTTAGGTGAGAATCATAGGCATTGCCATCAAAAATGAAACTCACTGTTGGCTTAAGATGTTTACAATATACATAAAAATAGTTTATATTTTCAATTTTATTCTCAAATTCCGGCTTTAAATCACTGCAAAAACATTTTTCTCTTGTAAACTCGTAAACCTCTGAAGGGTTAAGGAATTGTAAATTGGATGCAAAGGAAACATAAGTTTTCTTGTTTTTAATTTATGATTTGTTTGTTTTATACAATTACATAATAATACAAATTTATAATAAGATACATTACGGGATTGTGATATCTATTTGAAAACTAATGAACATTAAATAATTAATAGGTTTAATGAAATTACAGCACATATTCTCCATAGTTAACGATAACTATACGCTAGAAATACGAGCCGTTAAGCGAATAACTGATGCAAAAGATGCCCACATTTTCCTACAGTCTCTGGAGTTATCGGACAGTCAGTCGCGAAAGTATGTAATACTAGACTGCGATTCAGAGACCGCCAAAAATATAATCATAGATCACGTGCGAGACATATATATGGGAAGACGAAACTTTCATTTTCTACTAACAAGTCTTGTAAGTAAAGTCAACTCAACTATAAATCAAAAGAGTTTTTTCGCTTCTGTTTAGATGTTTTTATAGAAGTTAAGGTCATTCACGAGTTTTTGCTCACTTTCTCAGAGCTCTTACGGCTTCTAAACGCTCATAAATAACAGTTAATACTATTTGTTGTTATATTTTGCCCAAACTTTGCCTGTAGATAATGGATGTGTACTGGAACAATCAGGTGCTAGAGTTCGGTGCCATTAATATAACAGGATTTCGTATTCTTCAGACAAACACTTATGAATTCAGACAATTCTCCCGGAGTTGGAAGGGTCTGGACGCCCAGCGATGGCCCGGAGCCGGAACTGACTACTTCTCTGTACGATATACTTGTACTTCATTCTCATTTCAGACAAACAAACATTTCTCTCTCTCTCTCTCTCTCTCACTCTCTCTCTCTCTTTCTTTCTTATGATGTTTTGCTTTAATGACACACAAAATCTCATTACATCTCATATTTGTATTGTATGTGACATAAGGCGGACACCGCTCTCATGTTTGACTCAACGAAAGTGTTTTTAGACGCTTATAATCGCCTTTTGAAGGAAAAGTCTAATATGTTTCGCAATAACTTCAGAAGAGGTGAGTTCTTCAACAATGGGTCCAAAGGAATCGATTGCCAAAAACTTCCCATCAGTTTCTGGGAACACGGAAACAAAATCGCTAAATTCATTAGAAAAGTAGGCATTTCTATATTTTAATATTCCAACCGATGTTTAGTTCTTTAAAACACAAATAACATATTATAGACAGATATCGGTGGACTCACTGGCAATATATCGTTCAGTGAAATGGGTTTTCGAAAAAACTTTTCGATAGACATCGTGGAGATGACGGTTAACAATGAAATGTCAAAAGTAATCGATTGATACAAATATATGAAAATGACATCAATTATTGTTTTGTGGACCTAATGAACAGATCGCACAATGGACTGAAGACGAGGGCATGGAATTGGTTCCGGGAAAGTATCGCAGAGTCTTCCAGGAGTCCAATATTGAGAATAAGACTTATATAGTGACCAGTATTTTGGTGAGTCATTCATTAGTTATAATTTACAGTATTATGTAATTTTAGATATTAATTATAAATATTTAATTTAATTAACATACAGTACTGTATTTTAAGGTTAATCATAGAGTTTTGTCTTAAATTCAGTGACACTTAAAAAGAAAAAACTAATTTAGAAATTCATTCATTAAAGAGGTGTTAGAGTGCAGACAAGTGTCAAATAAACTTAATTAAGAGTGAACTCAAATTCTTGTATCACTTCACACCTGATTTCATGTTAAGGAAAATTGTGAAGAATTCTTAATTAGTTTTAACGAAAATAATATAATATTGAGATTTATTTTCAAAGGAATTCTTAATTAAAAACTTTAAGCCACTCACATATATTCAGCACTTAATTGATAATCAATAGAATAATGATTTGATTGCAGACATCGGTTTGGAAACTGAAATCATTATAAATATAATTGTTTTGAATGAATAGGAAGAGCCATATTTGATGGAGAAAGTGCCCGAACCGGGAGTTGTACTGACAGGAAATGATAGATACGAGGGTTACTGCAAAGATTTGGCCGACTCTATCGCCAAAAACGTTAACTTCAATTACGAGCTAAGACTAGTGAATGATTCAAAATATGGTGGTTTAGACTCCAAGTCTCCCAGCGGTTGGAACGGTATGGTCGGGGAGCTCATCAGAAAAGTAAGCAAATATTATACACATTGTATTACACAATATAATATAAATTCTTGTTTTATTGGTTTACAAGTCATTCAAATGTTTGCCATCTTCGGCACTAAAACTGAATTATTAATAACTAATTGCTTTAGGAGTCGGATATAGCGATCGCGCCGTTGACCATAACGTCTGCCCGCGAGAGAGTAATCGACTTCACGAAGCCATTCATGTCTTTGGGAATATCGATAATGATTAAGAAACCGGTCAAGAAGAACCCCGGCATCTTCTCCTTCATGAACCCTTTGAGTCAAGAGATATGGGTTTATATAATACTCTCATATATCGGTGTTTCGGTTGTATTGTTCTTAGTTTCGAGATTTTCTCCTCACGAGTGGCGATACGAAGACACTCTTTGCGGACCTAAAGTTTCCAATGATTTCTCTCTCTATAACTCTCTTTGTATAACATTTTTTATATAGATTTCTAAACAATTTAATCAGAAATGTGTTTATGATATCCCTTTTTGCTGTATTTTATAGGGTTTTCTCTGGGAGCCATTATGCAGCAATCCTGTGATGTATGTCCCAGGTAGGATCACATACATAACATAATACACCACTCCATTTATAAGTGTGGGCTTTCTCATAAATCCATTCAAAATATATTTATATTAAACATTTTATTCAAAACTAAAATTGATTTTGAATGAAATTTTTATCAATACTATTGATATTAGTATTGTATTTGTAGGCATTATTGTACTTTTAATGTTTACTATATAAAAGTATTATTTTGTTTTAAGGAATATTTGTTATTCAAACTGACATCATAGTCTAAACCACTTTAGCCTAATATAGTTTTGCATTTTTGGGTAACTTATCAATTTTTAAATATTAGTAAATAACATTAATATAATGTTCAAATGATATAAATAATACAATATTTATAAGCCATCGCATGGTTCTATAAATTCTGTATATTTGTAATACTATTTTGTAGTCAATTTGCAACACATTTTACATCACTTTCTCTAACAATATATGGAATGCTTTTTCTCTGAGAACTCGTTTTCTTATCACTTGTCGTAAAAATTGTTGTGAATTGAAGTAAATTATACATTACACTCAGTATACTGTAGTAGAGTTCAGTATATTTTGTTTGCGATAAGAAAAGCCTACTGTAGCGCAAAACCCAGTCTTACCGGGGATGTTATCACTTGTTTTGCTACCTATCGATTTCTAGAGAAAATCTTTATGTCTTCTCAATAATATTTCTAAATTATTGGAATCTTTTCAAAATGAGCCAAATTTGCTAATAAATGTTTGCATAAGTTTAATGTCTCATACATTTTAATATAGGTCTGTATCGGGACGGATAGTTGGGTCCGTTTGGTGGTTCTTCACACTTATTGTAAGTTAATTCTCATAGATTTCATTCTTCTTTCAATTTGTAATGATTTTTAGTCTTTATTTTTATAATCTGTTTGGAAATGATTTATATGAACAGATAATATCTTCATATACGGCTAATTTGGCTGCTTTTCTAACTGTGGAGCGAATGGTCACTCCAATCAACTCAGCCGATGATCTTTCCAAACAAACTGAAGTGGAGTACGGGTGAGAAATATAACACTATTTAATAACTTATTAATCCATAGATCATTATAATACAGTATTTAAATAGAGACTATTTAAATCTAATTTAGTCATTATTATTAAAAAATAATTAATATTTTCTCATAGAATATTTTATATGAAATGATAGTAAATAATATTTTATAAGTTAATTAATATTAATATAATGTTTTAGAGTTTTGCGATATTCATCTACAATGGAGTTCTTTAGAGTAAGTTTGCAACACTTATATAAAAGCAAAGTATGAATGATGTGAACGTGTAATATATGTGAACAGAAATCCAAAATAACGGTTTACTCGCGAATGTGGGAATTCATGAGCGCTAAGCCTAATGTCTTTGTCGACTCGTATAAGGAGGGCATCAAAAGAGTGAGGGAATCAAAGGGCAAATATGCCTTTCTTATAGGTCTGCACAACATATTCCTAATTATATGAATTCATTTGAATCTTAATTAAATAATTAACAGAATCGACACAAAATGACTACATTAATGAGCGCCAGCCGTGCGATACAATGAAAGTGGGCCGCAATTTGGGTAATATTTCTTTGTCCTAACAGTAAGATTAGATATTTGACGGCAATAACCATTAATTAACTCATTAGACGCTAAGGGCTATGGTTTGGCAACTCCTTTAGGAAGTCCTCTCCGGTATTCTCTTAACTAAATTAAGTGAACATTGAATCTAATATAAGAAAGTATTTGTGAATAGAGTTGAACTCAATTTAGCGGTTCTTAATCTCATCGAAAGCGGGGATTTGACTAAATTGGAGAACAAGTGGTGGTACGACAGGTCCGAGTGCAAGACTAAGGACCTTAAGGTCTCATTTCTATTAATATAACATTTATTACATATTCCTTATTATGAATAATTATGTGCATGAATGACAGGAGTCGTCTCAGAGCGAGTTAACCCTGTCCAATGTAGCAGGGTGCTTCTATATTCTCATTGGAGGTCTAGTGATGGCGATGGCAATGGCTTTAATTGAATTTTGCTGGAAAAGCAGGAAAGAAGCGCTTCAGTCAAAGGTTTAATTATTGATCACTTATTTTATTTGTGAACATTTGAATGCTTTCAGTGACTCTCAGTCTCACTCTTCCCTCCATTCTCTCCATTAGATCACTATTTATGAAGCAATGAAAGCCAACGTTCGGCTCTCCATCACAGGATCGCCCGCTTATTCCGTGTACTTAGAAAGGGCTCGTATGAGGACTGACTCCGTTTAATACACCTTGTTTAGATTTTCATAAATTTTAGCACAAATTATAGAAATTGTATAATAACTATAAATACTTTTTTAATGACATCTGTATCATATTTAATTTATAATTTAACTGTAATTAAATCTTCATAGACATCAATAAATCTTATTTTTAATTGCTTTTAGCAAAAACTTTTTGAAATAATTTCACCATTAAGAGTAATTTTATAACTAAATCTAATAGTAAGACATACAATGTCCAATAAATAACAATTTTGTATTGAAGCAGAATATTCTTTGTTTTGAAAATACATTGTTTCCATAGTATCTCGCAGAGCAACCTTTGCATCACTTATTCACAAAACCAAACATTTTTTACAAATTATTATAACTTAAATAAATCAAACAAATTCAATGAGTGATTAATTTATGAAAATTTTAAAATGAGATTCAAGACATACGTTCCCCACCAACTCATTCATATCCTTTTCATATTTCCTACAAATTTTATATAAAATAATGATTTCCTTAACTTTTTTATCTCGTTATTACATAAAGATTTTGTGAGTTGTGTCGGCTGGACATCACCAGAAGAAGTGATATCGTGTGGAGATGACCACCAATTGCTTGTCTGGAATGTCTCATCTCATGAGTCGACTAAACTATCGGATTTGCCTAAAGAGCTCTTCCCAACAGACCTCCACTGTTATGCAAAATCTAGTAAACAGAAAGTGTCCGATCAGATGGTTTTGGGAGCTTCTGATGGTAAGTATCACTTCATTTCACGCAATGGAAAGATAGAGAAGACAGTGGAGGCACATACGGGTGCTGTGCTGGCCGTCCGATGGAGTAATGATGGCTCAGCGCTGGCCAGTGCTGGTGAGGACGGACTCGTGAAAGTGTGGTCCCGGAGCGGAATGTTGCGCTCAACCCTGTCCTCGAGTCCAGTCCCAACCTATTGTATATCGTGGTCACCGAAAAACGATCAAATTCTCTACACTTTCGACAAAAACCTAATAATCAAACCTTTGACCCCAAACTCCAAACCCATTGAATGGAAAGCACACGAAGGAGTGATCCTTAAAGTCGATTGGAATCCCAATAACGACTTAATCATATCCGGCGCTGAAGACCGCAGATATAAAGTGTGGGACTCTTTGGGAAGAGTGTTATTCATGAGCGCCACTCACGAGTTCCCGATCACATCGTTGTCCTGGGCTCCAGAGGGCACACTCTTTGCCATCGGATCCTACAATACATTGAAGTTATGCGATAAGTACGGCTGGTCTTATTCACTGGACAAACCACATATCCAGAGCATATTTGGGCTGAGCTGGTCCACCGATTCCACACAAATATCAGGCGCCTGTGCCAATGGGAACGTCATATTCGCTCACGTCATTGAAAAGCGGGTCGAATGGAAGTCCTTTGAGGTGAATGTGTTGGGCCGCAAGAATATTCACGTCAAAAATGTGACCTCTGGTGTGGAGGACGACCTCGAGTTCAGGGATTATGTCATAAAAATATCGTTTGAATTCAATCACCTGATTGTCATCACAACGAATCAGTGTTTCATATATAAGGCCAACAACTGGACGATCGCCCACCACCTCGACCTCAAAGAGACTAATGTATCGCTTATTCTTCAGTGCGATAAACATTTTATGCTAATCGACAGCACAAACGTCGGGCTCTACTCTTATGAGGGAAGACTACTCTTGAATATCAAATGGATTGGTATGAGAATCGAGTCATTAAATTCTGAGACTATAAGGTATTTATAGATATATTTTATGGGTTCATAATTATGATAATTATGTGTTTATTGAAAGTTTGAGCGGTGATACCATTGCGGTCAGAGATGCCAATGATATGAAAGCGATTCACTTCATCGACACCACAAATGGCAAAATAATGAACGAAGGCGTCAATGCATTGAAACACAAATTAGACATCACTTGCGTTGCACTCAATTATTGCGGACCAATATCTGAGAGGATGTGTGCCTTTAGTGATAAAAACGCCGACATTTACTTAAGTCTTGTCCGACCGGCGCAGACAACAGTGTTTAAGACCATTAAATTGGTTTCAATGGTTAAGTGTTTCATTTGGAACAACGATTCCAACATTTTGGCCACAATTCGCGAGAATAATCGCTTAAGCGTTTGGATTTACCCGACGGTGGCCTTCGTTGACAGCGATCTACTGTCGATGGTTGTCATCGAGAAGGACGGCACTGACATCACCGATAAAAGTCCGCAAATTATTAATTTCCTGAACAACAGACTCAGTATTCGTCGCTCTGATGGGTCACTGATCTCGTCGTCGATCAATCCGTTCGTAAATCTCTTACACTCTTATGCCTCACAACAGCAGTGGACTGAAGGACTCAAATTGTGTCAGTTCTTGAGGGATAACTATGATGTGAGGGCTCTGTGGGCCGCCTTCGCCGGGATGGCCCTTCACGCCAGACAACTGGACACCGCAGAGATGGCCTACGCGGCTGTCAATCGTGTCGATAAAGTGCTGTATATTCAGAAAATACAGAAACTTAAAGACAAAGAGGCAAAGAGTGCAGAGATAGCTCTCATTTGTGGCAATATTAGAGAAGCAGAGAATATATTAATTCAAAGCGGATTTATTCTGAGAGCCATTGCTCTGAATCTGGAACTCTTCCGATGGGAGAGGGCTCTCGAGTTGGCCCACAAATACGAGAAGAACAATAAATTCATGGAATTGGTTCAGGCATTCAGACACAGATATCTGGAAAGAGTGGGCAAAAAGGAAACCATTCAATCGTATCGACAACTTTCTAATGAAGTAAATATTAATAGAAAATAAGGGAATGAATCGATGATGGCTTTAGAGATTCATTGCCTATATTGTAATTCCTGTTTCTTAACAGATATACTGTATATTCGCTTAAATAATATTCTATTAATTTTTGTTTTTATAATATTACCGTATTATTGATATACTAAACATTTCACTATTATTATTATTGATTATATTTTAAGTGATTTATGGTTTCATTTTAGACAGAGTTCTCCGAATGGAATGTATATCAAGAAAGACTGGACACGGCTTATGAGCACAGAGTAGTCACACAATCCAAGAGTACATCCAAGAAATGATTGATTTGTTATTTGAAGATTGCAATGAAGAGTATTAAAAGTCGACTTATACTTTGTTTTGATTAAAGTTTGCAATGAAATAAAAAAAGTTTGTTATGAATCAATATATTTAGTATTTTTAATAAATAATCTCATTTGTGTTAAACATCTTTGAAGTGAGAAAATAAGTTATAAAATAATATATTTTTAAATAAAAACAAAATGAATGACTCAAATAAATATATCCAACGAATTCTTAGTCAATGGAATAAAACTCTAATAATTTAAAAATATTTATAAAACATTTAATACGATATTAAGTTAATAGGTATTGAAATCAATTATTGATCAGTAGTTTCTTAAAAACCTCTAACTGTGCGATACTATTGGACAGTCGGGCCAACGCGTTCACCAGACATGTGATCTCATGTCTATGTAATCGCAGATTTTCGATGTCATCGCTCAACAGAATCTTCAAAGCAGTGCTGAGTCCGTGTGTCTGCACTTTACCCCATAGTCGGCACCGATCACAGGCCACGCAATCCATTATATTAGTGGTGATGTTGTGGAAGTGCTGACCCACTTCTTGAGCAACATTTGGTGGCTGTTGTTTGAATAGAATTGATTCGTTGAAATGAAACTTAAATTTCCTGTCAATTCAATCAAATATAGCAATCATTAGAGCCATTAATTCATTACAATTGCAATTCAATTTAAGTGCAGACCTGACTGTACGGAGTAAGTCCTTAATGGCCTCTTTGGTGAGCGATTGGTCACCACTTGACTGCCAGTTCACTTTGTTTAGCAAATAGGGCTCACTTTTGTGCAGAGCTCGCAATTCCAGTAAATATACAAAATATAAGTTCTTTATATAATCGGTTTGTCCTTAAATATAACGATAGAAATACATTGAGTCAATCAAATGAGTAAAACTTGGAATCAAATAGATGTCTGAGTTTACCGTTAAATCTGTCGACGAACTCTTTGGTGTTGTGGGCAAAGGAACCGTCAATCATGTGATATATAGCCGAGAGATGTATATTAATAGAGGAGTGGAGCCCAGAGATCGCTCTGTAGAATATCCTCTCCTCATAACAGTAAGAATCTAATGAAAACGGATTGCTTTGCTTCTGAAGAAAGCAGTTCTCGTCATATATTGATCTCCAGATGCGGTCACACGTCTCCCCACTATAGCCTATCGCACGCATAATACACACAAACAAAAGGCTTTAGATTTTTATTTTATATATTTTATGAATAATGACATCCAATACCTGTAAATCTTTCGGGATTTAGCAGCAAATCGTAATACTGTGCGCCCTCTGAGTCGTCTTCAGTGCAATCAAACAGTGTATTCATAGCCTCGATATTAGTCGACGAGACGGTGCGATCGATTTGAGACAACTTTTGCTCAGAATCTGTCGGACAGTCGTCTTCTCCAGAGTCTGTCATTAAAATGAGAGAAATTTGAACTTAAATTCATTTTATATTAGAAAAGTTTCCTTTTTCATAAATCCTATCGCTTTTAAATCCTCTTAAAAATGTTGACACATTTTTCAATCATTTTTACATTTTGTAAGATTTAAGGAAAACTAAAATTGTGTTTCAAAGTGAAAACTTCAAAACATATAAAAATACTGGAAAATACTACGGTAGCACTATAGCCTTCAATATAAACACATAAATAAGTTATATACCGGTATATTCAGTATAAAAATTGTAGTTATTTTAAATTTAATAAAATATTTACCGCTTTTCTCTCTCATAATAACAGACTTCGGGAGTTGTGATTCATCGCAGTATTGAATACTACAGTCTCTATACAATAAAAAACGAAAAAATAAATTATTTATTCAATAAATGTTTAGAAAATGAGCAAATTTGAGAGGAAGTCTATGAATGTAGTCATACCGGAGCACACATTTTGAATTGTCGGGCCATAGAGTGCATCCGCGGTTGAGGTTTAGTTTAACAAACTTGAAGTAATCCATGCGAACAATGGACTGAATCCGTGGCCCTAACTGTAAATTATTGAAACTTGAGATCTGACTTAACGTCAAGTCCTTTGCATTTTGATTATCAATCGGATGGAAGTCATCCAAAGTTAGTCTTTGGACGTCATTGAGAAACACAGCGCAAGACTTCATGTCCGCCGGCTTTGGAGTAATCTTTTGGCGAATTTGATGAATGCTTTCGTCGCCGGACTTCAGATTTTCATCGCTAACAGAGGGCTTGTCTTTCGATGTCTTGTGGTCCACGTGTTTATTGAGGTCTACGTTAAAACTACTTGAAATGAACTCATTGATCGTCTCTTTGTATAAGTATATCACAGAAACAGTCAACGCAATAATGGCCACAAGTATCACCCCTTTGAGCGACTGGTTGGCGGCACCGGTAGGTCTCGAACCCATTTTCCTCGACTTCTTTGTACCGGTTTTGGCCGAAACACTCTTCACACCATTCATTAGTAATGTATTGTTTGCACACTTTTTAATGAATTATACTTTTTCTCTCTAATAGTCGTTAAATAAACAAAAATAATTGCACTCAAAATGAGGCAAAACCTCACATATTGTCTGCAAAAGACTTTATAAACTGGTTATTAGGACGTCATCACAACCAGTAATGTTCATAGTCTTCATGTCTTATATCACGTAATACTATCGCAACCCTAAGACAAAACCACTGATTAGATAATTACAAGACTTGTATTTCACTGAATTGACACAAAAAGCAATATTTGTTGTTAACTATAATCATAAATCTGAGCACATATTCAAAACAATGCAATATAAATGTCTATAAAACTTATCAAAATCTCGTTAATCACTAGTCTTTGCAATTATTATCACTTTTTATAAGTCAATAAAAATGGTATTTATGTCTCGAAAGCGACGATTACTTCTTGGGATGTGTTAAGTGGTGACGAGTTGTTTACAAACCGACAGTTTGTGACCAAAGCGTGTGTTTAGTGAGAGATTAGCTGCCATTTGGCGGACAATCACTGAGTTATGAGTTATTTATAGTATTTGTAAATCAAACCAATTATGCAATCATTGAATCAATGACTCATTGAGTGAATCAAAACTCACTGAAAGATCGCAAAATAGTTAGCATTCAAAACAAAACAACCAAACGATGACTGAAAGGCAAACAAGTGTTGAGTGTATTTGCAAAACATATGAGTGTTGTTGAGAAATGTAGTCAAATATTGGCCACAAATCCAATCAAACAGATCATTGCAGTGATGTGTAAGTCAACTGTGATTAACAGTTCAATTAAAACACATAACAGTCTTAACACTCATATAAACCGAGTATTGGTTGGCATTGAATGTCAACTCAAATACGCGTCGAAAGCCGATTGGAGTTCACGAGTGGTGACGACATTTGTGTCTCACATTCACTGCACTGTTCACTGCATTGAATGCATTGGATCCACAATATTGTGATGCAATCGACTGTCCCTTCACTTTTGAGCCACGCATTGATCTGTTGATTCAGTTATGAAAGACATTGAATACACCCTTAGATTCTTTACATGACATATGGCTATAATGTATTGGTGTTCATAATGTCATTGTCATTAATTAGCATTGCTTACAATTACTATTCATTCATTCAATCTGACAAGTGCAGTACTTCTAATTTAAATGAGCATGCATATTCCACAATACATATTAATATTTCTTATACAGTATCTATACGTACAGTAATTAGTATATAATATATTAACATAAAATGAAACAATATTGAATTGAATATTAATTATTGTACCAGTACTATACCAGTACTAGTTAATAAATACAAATAATTATTGATTGTACTGTATTTCGTAACCTAGAAATTACTGTAACTCTAGTTTAATTCATACAAACAATAAACCATACAATTAATTTTAAAACCTAGACTAATGCAATATAAACTATTATCTAGTAACCAGGGTTTATTATTGATTAAGTCACACGTATTTCATCACAAATAAAATTTAATCTAGATAAATTGCATAACTGCATTTCATGAATGATTGCAATACACATACAGTTTAACTTATTTACATTGACTATAAATTGTATAATAAATTCTTGATTGTATTTATATATAATTAATTCAATTTGTAATACTTGATTAGAAATTTAAATCATAATAAATGAATGTGAACATTATAATATTTGGACACTACTTATTAATTGCAATTAAATTTATAATGAATGTCAAGAATATAGTCTTAATATTTCAAACTCAAGAATATAATGGTATTAACCATTAAATGAACACATGTTTGAATCAATTGATTACTGATAATTTGTGCAATCAAATTCAATATATCACACAATATTATCTGATAATTAATGCCATCATTTAGACCACAATTAAAGCCAAAACTCGCGGAATATTCTGTGAAGGTGTCAAACAATGAACGTAACGTTATTTGTGGACAATTGTGCGAAACATTGCGCTCTTCACACGAAATCGTATTGAAAAACAAAACTTTAAATTGTATTCAAAGTTGTGTTGAATTAGTAGTGAATCGACAGTTGATTGCAATCATTGACACAATCAAGTGATGCCTGAAATCGCTTTCTCAAAGGTCTCGGCCTTCAGTTCTGAAGATGCGGTGAGTTTGGGATCAGTTGTGACCCATTGATGACCATTGAATTGATTGTGTGAATTGATTCCCAATGAAAGGCCAACCAATTGTTTGCCAACAATTTGCTCAAAACAAAGGACTTTAAGTCTTGGAAATGCAGGCAATGGGAGGATAAGAGTCACGTGATTCTCGAGACCACCGATGCCTACAAAGTGGATAACATCGAGATAGGGAACGACTGTTCGGCGTTTGCGGAGGTTCTTGTGTCCAACACGAGTGCCCCAAACGCCAGGTTTCAGGTCCTGCTGTCGACGTCTTCATTCATGACCCCATCCGACAGCAAACAACTGCAGAATTGTCACAGAATTCGGTGCTTTCCTAACGACAAACTGTCACCAAATGCCAGAACCGAGAAGTGGAACCGATTCAAGATTGTCTGCACTCAACCATTCAATAAGGTTTGTCTCACATCTCCGCTGTAATCGCTCGTTGATTGGCTATCAATGGTGTCATATATTCTTCAGGATATTCCCTATGGATTGGCTTTCATTCGGTTTAACACTCGTGCCGAAGAAGACGAGGAAATGGATGTGTCGTCCAATTTGATGGCTCTAAACACCGGACCCTTTAGACTGAGATCACATAACACCGCAGAGATCCCCTCTCGTGACGAGGAAGCGGACACAAGCGCCGGCAGTTTGTTTAGAAATCGCAACAATTATACAAACAGTGATCCACAGAAGCCGTCTTCACTGGCGGCGACCACTGGAGTCAGTCCTCCTCCCAAACAACCAAAAGTTCAGAACTCTGTTAAACCCAAACAAAAGACACCGCAAATCACTTCTAAACAAGTTTTGTCGTCCCATTCAACGACCCCGTCCTCATCGACCACCACTTCTATCAAATCTCCCAAAAGGCAATGGAAACCCAAAACAGACGTTCCCTTTAATCAATTGATGTCTAAAGTGGTGTTTGCTTTGAGCGGTTTTGTTAATCCAAAACGAAGTGATTTAAGGGATAAAGCGATTAAAATGGGCGCTAAATATAGACCCGATTGGAGCCAAACGTGCACTCATTTGATGTAATGATTATTTAATTAGCAGTTTTGTAATCAGTTTGTTTAATCATATACTCTATGTATGACTATAGCTGTGCCTTTGCTAACACTCCTAAGTATAACGAAGTTTTGGCACAAAAAGGAAGAATAGTTAGTGAGAAGTGGATTGAAGACACGTATAACCAGAAACGACTGGTCTATTGGAGAAAGTATGCGACCATTCATTGCTTATTATATTAAAAGATATTTGCAAAACGGTATAAATAAATGTGTCATAAATTGCAGTTACCTTTTGGGCAAATACAGAGGCCCTGACTCTGAGGAATCTGAAGATGAGGAAGAGGTAGTGGTTCCTAAGAATCGCAAACGTATTCAATATATCGATGACGACGAGGAAGAAGAGAGTCAAATGAAAGAAGTGATTGGTTTTGCCCCCAATAGTAGTACTAATAATAATAATAATAATGAGTCCAATGATAACGATATGAATGATGAGATCTACGACATGGAGACCGACAACGAGTCCGGTGCCGCCGACAACAGCAACACTAAAAGCGACAAAACTATTGATCCGAAGCCTACTATCGATATATTCAAAGAGAGATGTTTTCATTTGTACGGTCCGTTTGATGAGAAAGAAAAGCAAATATTAACTCAACATATCATCTCTCATAACGGGTTTGTATTTCTTTTTCAAACTATTGTACACTATATTCACAAAACAACATATTTCATACATACCCCGTAGTATTATATATGTTTTTGATCTTATTTTTTATTTACCGGTAATAAAATAATTTACATTCATTTATTCACTATAATACGGTATACTGTATAATAATTTTTACAAATTACGGTATTTGTTATAATTGACAGCAAATTAGAGACCCAATTGAGTTCAAGCGTTAGATATGTTGTGACCAATTCTGACTGGAATGACGACTTTGATCAGGTATTTGACTAATTGTTTACATTGTATGGAAATTGTATTTTATTTATTAATAATTTTTTACAAACAATTGTTAGGCATGTACTGAAAACGATTCGTTGATTATTGTGAAACCGAAATGGATTTATAAATGCATTGAAAATGCAAAACTAATTCCCCCCCAAGCATTCACGGTCTCATCTAATTATGATTAGAATTAAGTATTAAGTTTTGAATATCTATTTTTTCAAGTTCAATATTTTATATACCGTAGTTAATTAAAATATAATAAAACTTTATATAACCTTCTCATTAGACTTAATAAAATTTATTTGTATCGTAATTTAAATATTTTGAAATTTATTTTTTTCAAATCAAGATCTCTAACAAATAAAAATGTATTATATGTCTAAACTGATCACCGATTCGTTCATTTATTGGTTGAGCGCCCACTCAATCAAATCCTCGAGAAATTTGTGCCGACTTTCAATCAATTGAATTATTCATTAATATTTTATGTGTTTTAGTTTTTTATATTCAGTTCACTCTTAGTTTTTCATGTAATATATTCTTGACTTCTATTCTCCCAAAAACTGATTAATGTTTTAAAACCTTTGGTATTAATAATTGAAAATCCTTTTCGTTTTAAATGTTTTCGTTGTTTTCTCTTGGATTTAGTCACAACCGAGTTAGTGCTGTTGCGATCATACGAGAGAGCCTTACATTTAATAAAAAATAATTCTTACTCTAAGTCCAGGTTTTTTGTTTTGTTTTCCCTGTTCCTATCAGTACTTAAATCTGTTTCGCACAGTATTTGCTTTAATTTTTATATTGTAAATAAGATTATGCTGTCAATAAAGAACATTCGGATTCTGGTGTTTGTTTGAATTTATCTAAAATTTCTCGCAGTTATTGTTGTGGTGAGGGATGTATGAGATAAAAAAAGGCCAACCGATGACCCAATTAGTAGATATTGTATTATATTTACTCTTCTATATCTCAGAGAGCGAGAGAGAGAGAGAGAGAGCGAGAGAGAGAGAGAGAGAGAGAGAGAGAGAGAGAGAGATGGTCTCAGATTCTGACGATGAGTATGAAAATTCTGAGTATGATTTCGAGTATGAAAATTGTCTGTGTCATTTCTTTATTAAATTTAGTTTTAAAAAATTCAGTAAGTTTTATTATTAGCATTGTAAGTTGGACATAATGGCATAAAAATACCCACTCATATTTCCACATATCAATCAATTTTTTAATACAGATAACAGAAAACCTATATAAAATATGAAAAATATAGGCAAAATTACAAATCTAAATTTTATTTTTATATAAGTTATAAAATTTATTATAATTTTTTTCACTTTCACGTGAATATTGCAATTGACCGTTGACCTCTACATATAAACTTTACCATTAACCAGTATGTGATTAAAATAAAAAATATCCATCACAATGTAAACCTGAAAAAAGTGTATGTGTGGACATTCTAATTGTGGCACAAATGCTGGTTAATTATCACTAATCAATAACTAAGGTCTGTCAAATTCTAAGTATCAGTTTGGGCCACTGTCATAATTATTATATACTTGATAGATTGCCCGTATTTACAGTAAAGTGTGGACAACAATCAAATAGACACTGTTATAAATATATTGTACAGTATTAAGTGTATTAACTAAGAAACTTATTTCAAAATATTGAAATTCATTTAATTTATTTTTCCTTAAATCCATTAATACTCGACTCATTCAATAGGAAGAACTCTATTCAAAGATTGTGTTTGAATTCTTATAAGTTGTATTGAATAAAAATATTTAATTGATATTCATGTCAACACTTTTATGACATTTCTTTTCATAAGATTCTCCTAAAAACCATTAGTAAACCCAACTATTTTGATAAGAATTTTCATCAATAGATTTAATGAAAATCAATACAATCATATAATTTGTGTTTTAGTATTACACAATTCGCAAATGTTTTATTTGTTTAATAAATTTCACAATGTATAATACTAGTGAAAATTACAAATTGTAGGTTTAAAATAGATTTAGCTTAACTATAATAGCTTAAAATTATTTGAATATTGTTAATTATTAGGATAACAGCAAGTAATAATATATTTATTTAAATTACCTGGATAAAGTATCAATAATTGAAGGTTTATTCAAATAGATTTGTAGATCGGGTGCCAATAGGTGGCAATTACGAGGCGATTAACTGTTGTACTCTTACTTTCATCGTAAATGCCGTCAAAGGAAAAGTTGTTTTTTTATATTAGATTATAAATCATAGAATCTCTTAAATCCTCAAAAAAGCTTAAAATTCGTTTTCTCAACAAGAATTCATTTTTAATAGAAAATAATAAATAATTGTTTTTATCAAAAATAAAACTAAAGTACAAGATATTTGTACCGAAAGTTTTTCGACTCAAAGTCTTAATCATTAATAAGAGAAAAATTGAGTTTCAAACAAAAAATTTAGAATAAAGTGGAAAACAAACAATTTTGTCGAAAATAGTAACTAAAAGACTGTTTGGTTTGTTATACTATGTATTAATTGTCTTTTCTTTCATGACTTATGGGATGCTTTCAATCATTTTGATAAATGAAGACACGGTATAAGAGTTCAATTTATTTACCGCTTATAACCTAAAGTTAGACTCGGATTCCGATTCTATATCTCATATAATATAAGTTATTCTCACCGTTAAGGCCAACCGTTCTCTCTCTCTCTCTCTCTCTCTCTCTCTCTCTCTCTCTATCATAACATATAAACCGTTTGTTTTCTCTCTTAACGTAAAGGTTTGTCAAAAGATATGGTATCGAAAACACCATATAAACCGTTTTTATTGGTTTTGTATGATATATAGCGCTTACTATTAGTATTACTTCATTACATAATAAGAATTACAAGAATATTACTTCGAGATAATATTCTGGTGATTTTTGGCAAATAATTAATTTGTTTTTCGTTTAGTTGTAATTTATATTAATTTTCTTAATTAAGACTTCCATGCGAATCAATTTCATGTATAAATTCAAACACATTTTGGGATTAGATTTAATACATTTTACAGAAAAAGTTAATTTTTTGTTTTACTCTAATTATATATTTTGACAAATATTTTACTCTATCTTTAAATTAGATTTTATTGATTTTTCGTCCGTAATAATCAGTGTATGACTTGAATAATAGGTATTAATTTTATTTTTTGCAATTTCGATATTTTCCTCACAGTTTTCGCTCATTATATGCCTCTTTAGAGCCATAAAAAATTATTTGGATTTGTGTAATATTTCATTAGAAAGAAATTTATTTTCAGTCCATACGCTGCCATTAGTTTAGTGTCTCATTGAATGAAAGTCACTATTTTTCTTAGAATTAATATTTTAATTCATTAGTGAAACAAAAAAGTGTTTCTTTTGATGTTCAATATTTGAACAATTTTTCATTTTTTGCATTTAAATAGAAATTTTTAAACATGAATACAGAAGTAATCATTTCTACATGAAAATTACTTTTTCACGACTTGTGTTGCGTTTTGAATTTACAGTGAATTTCAAGTCAGAAATGAATTACATGTGAAAACTATTACTATTATAAATATCAAAAATACTAATCTATAATATTCTGTGATTCCATTTAATTTATTTGACAATTTTCCAACACTTTTGCATTAACTTTGAATTTTCGCTTTAATATTTTGGTTTACCTTATACTGTATGATATAATACAAAGTTTTTGAATTTTAATACCATTATACATATTCTGAATTTTTCACAGATATTCATTATTTTACAATTATTCTAAAAATATCCATTAATATCTTGAAGTAATATGAAAATGAAAAGTAATTATATTTTATAAATTATACCAAAACACTAGAAATTGGTAGAGAATCCGATACCATCTAAAAATGGTGTGAATAATGATCTGAAAAATGGTGTTTTGTTTGACAACACCTAAAATGACATCAAAATAATTAATCGAAAATTTGCGAAATAAATAATTAGATGATTGCGGCACTGAATCTGATTGTGAATATATTGCTCGAGTTAACCACTCGTTAATGTTTTATATGTTATTGTTATTACAGTCATCACGTCATACATAACTCGGAGTAGGTTTTGGTACATAAGTCACTCATTTTGCATACATAACAGGGAAATATACATAACTGGGAAGTTCATAGTAGAGAATGTATTTAACATTATATGTATAGGCAATCCGTCAAAAAATATTTTACAGTTCATAACTGAGAGCTATACATAACTGAGGAGTTGAGAACTCAGGAATTTTACAGTACACAATTTCATCAGCAGAAGGGTTTTCCACATGCATTTCAATAGTTAAATAAAATGGACCATCATCATTTAGCCAATTATTCCCGAGAATGTCGTTGCTATTTCTCGTAAACCCGTATTGATTATCGTAAATGTATTTAAAATGTGTTTTATCCCACTTAAAAGTGTACATGTGAAACTGATCAAGGTTATTTGGAGGTTCATTGGAGTTTATATGTTTAAATGAAATTTGCTTTTCACTCAATATATTAAATATATTGAAACTTGTTTGTTTAATTGAATTGTTTTTGATACGCTCTAATATTATGCTCGGGAACAGCAGTTTATTTAGTGGAAGGGCTGCTCTGACCTCTACACGACCCTCGAGCCAAATAACTTTTGATTTGACCATGGACGTTTTAAATCCCTTTTCGCCATCATTGTATTGCGTAACAGAAATTGTCAGACAATTGTTGATTATTTGTAGATTGCTATTCGTATAGCAATTCACAGAATTTGTATCTGCTAATTAATTAATAAATATTTAATTAGATATTAATACAAATTAATTAATTAGTACATTGACTAGGGCTGCCACCTATTTTCACTACCCGGGAGGACAAATTGCCAAATTTGAGACAGGTCAGAGGGCAAAAACAATTTTTCAATAACTTTTCCTACTGTATTTATAATAATATTAGACACTATTGTCGTAATGTTTAAAACGCTTGGTATTGTGGTCCTAACAATGAGTTCATAATTTATATAAATAATTTATAATAAAATTATATGTAATATTATATATAAATACTTTTATTCGTGAATACTGAGAATTAAATTATTATTATTTGGATTATGTTAATAAACCCACGGGAAGACTGTTTTTTAACGAGGCCAATTGGAGGACAATCCTCCAAAAGGGGGGACAGGTGGCAACCCTTACATATAATTTTATATATT